AAGACCATGTTATTAATAGAAGCAAAACAAAAAGAAAAGATGTCTTGGGCCAGCCCTACATCCTAGTGGCTAAGGGAGCTGGATCCTACATGGCCGACCATTCAGTTTGAACACCAGCCCTGGCAGCTTGAAAAACACACCAGGCAAGGAGGCCAGCAGGTGGCTTGGAGGTTAAAGTGCTGGCTCCGTCATGGCCACTGTGCAGTTTGAAAGTCACACTGGGCGTGTGTGTGCCCAAACTCCCAAGAGGAGACTAGAAGAGATGGCAGCATGGCCATTCCTCATAGGGTGGAGGTGGAAGGTGACTTCTCACCTCTCCATCTCCCAATCCTCATCTTTCTCTGAAGGGCACACATGTCCTATAGCAAAAACTAAAACATATGCACACATGTACACACTCCAGGCGTGTATGCATACATGCCCAGAATCCCAATGGGTTGGAGAGATGGAAGAAAAGGGATTGTGGCATGACACACCCCCACTGGGACATGCCTTCTCCCTCCCTCTCTCTCTCTGTCTTTTTCTGGTGAGCATGTATGCCCTCTGACAATTTAAAAAAAAAAAGTTTCTAGCAAATACATGAGCTCAGTAAATATCAATTGCTAATATCACTATTACCCACTGTACTACCACTGTGAAGCAAAAAAAAAAATAAAGAAAGAAAGAAAGGAAGGAACCCTCCCCATTCCAATTGGGGCGTTCAAGCCTATCTGGGCAGCTGATCACTGGATAGGACCAGATCACTGAGAGAACCATCCCTGTGTGATCTTCCACAGTAGTGAGCACCATCTAGGAGGTGGGAAGTCTGTGGAAAGCAAATATGTTAGTAAAAAGATACATTAAAAACCAGCTTATATGATCATCATTTTAAAAAGAATTTTATTAATACATAGGATAAGGGTGATTTTTTTTTTTTATTGCCAGAGGGTATGTGCACTCACCAGAGAGGGGAGAGAGAAAGAGAGCACACATGTACCCCAATGGGAAGAGGGTGTGTGCACTCATTAGAGAAGAGGGAGAGAGAGTACCCCAATGGGATATGGTCACACCACAGCCTCTTCTCCCCCATCTCTCCACCCTGTGGGGATATGGGGCACACACATACATGAATTCAGCATTTCACTCAAGCCACTGGGCCAGGATTTGAACTGCGCTCAGCCATGTGGGGTCCAGCTCTCTTAACCACTGGGTTACAGACTGGCCTGTACGTGAACAACTCAACGCATGCATACAAGCATTTGAGAGTCTAAACCCAACTTAGAATTGTTTTTTTTTTAAAAAGCAAGAATGCCTGCGCTGTCGCTCCTACGCATCTACGCTCAGTCTGGAAAACGACTGCTTATAACACTGGCTTGGGACTCAGGCAACTCCTGAAGCTACGTGCCATGGCTTTTGTCTGTCCTTTCAGAATTAAAGTAATATAAATATTTTGAAACCATTACTAATCTGGATCAGATAATACCATTCCAAGCTTCTTTTAAAAAAACATTTACGAGGCCAGCAGGTGGCATGGTGGTTAAGACACTGGATTCCCATATGGCTAACTGCAGTCTGAGTCTCAAACCTGGCAGCTTGCTTTCTCTCTCTCTCCCTCTCTCTCTCAATCTCTTGTGAGTGCATGTGACATACAATAAATCAAAAAATAATAATAAATAAAAATTTTAAAAAGAGGTATCCTGGTCCCCAGCACCTTAACCACCATGCCACCTGCATGCCTCCTGCTGGCCCCTGTGACACCTCTTAAAAGATAGGTTTCTGTAAATGTTCCATAGATTCTGAGTGCTTTTCAACTTTTTGTGCAACTACCAACTTTAGTGCTGGTCCAGATCCTGGCCAGTTCTGAGAGAGCATGATCCGATCAGGGTCCACAGTCCCTTAGCTGCTGCAGTGCTGAAGTACTTGTCACATGTTAGAGGTGGCTCTCTGGCTTTGTGGCTTACCATTCATGGCCTGATAGTGATCTCTGGCAGGACATCACGTAGTGGCAGATTCAAGTTGATTTGCTTTTCACATTCTGGGTTTGGATTTCCCAGTTCTAGTCTTGGACACCTGATGTTAGTGCTAAAAAGGATCCCAGAATTACCTAGTAATTGTTCCCTTAGAAATGAATTGACTGGGGAACCAGCAGTTAGCGTAATGGCTATGTCGCTGGACTCCCACGTAGTCGACTGCGGTTCGCGTCCCGGACCTGGTGGCTTAAAACTCACGCCGGGTGTGTGTGCGTGCATGCCCAAGATCCCAAGAGGAGAATGGAAGAGAAGGGACTGCAGCGTGACCATCCCCCCCGGGGGGTGATTTCTTGCTTTCTGTCTCTATGTCTCTCTCTGTCTGTCTGGTGAGCGCACGCGCCCTATAGCGAAAATCTCTCCCAAAAAAAAGAAGTCACAATGGTCATTTTGAAGACAAAGCTCTGACTAAAACCCAGTTTTTCTTTTCTTTTTTTTTAAGGAATTATTTATTCAGGACCAGCAGTTGGCATAATGGCAATGTCGCTGGACTCCCATGCAGTCGACCGCGGTCTGAGTCCCAGACCCAGTGGCTTAAACTCATGCCAGGCTTGTGTGCGTGCGTGCCCAAGATCCCGAGAGGAGAATGGAGGAGAAGGGATTGCAGCATGGCCATCCCCCCTCGGGGGTGATTTCTCACTTTCTATCTCTGTCTCTGTCTTTCTGGCGAGCCACACGCCCTATAGCAAAAACCTCTCCCAAAAAATAAAATATAAAAAAAAGAGGTGTCCTGAACATGGAGGAAGGAGGTAGACGATATAAAAAACCTGATCTAAAAGAGAAGGCTCATGGGTAGGAAGTCATTGGCAGATGATGAAAAATTAATGCAGCAAATGATAAAATCCAATCTAATAATTAAGTCACCTCGGGAACATTTAAGTGACCCAAACTAATTACCTTTCTTATTCCTTTTGATATAGAAAACTGAACCCTGAGAATCAGAATAAAAGTACACTATATTATATAATTATGTGTGCTTTAAAATGTTCCATTTTCAGTTTTTTCTTTCCTAAAAGTTAAACAGCATATCATCTAAATAAAAATTACATTTATCCATTATTAGTGAATCACAGAAAAATAATATTAATATAAGCACTCTTGATTTTTTACTAACATCTTCCATTAAAATGTAAGTTGACAGACCAGCAGTTAGCGTAATGGCTATGTCGCTGAACTCCCATGTAGCTGACCGCGGTTCAAGTCCCGGACCTGGTGGCTTAAACTCACTCTGGGCACGTGTGCGTGCGTGCCCTAGATCCCGAGAGGAGAATGGAGGAAAAGGGACTGCGGCGTGGCCATCCCCCTGGGGAGTAATTTCTCGCTTTCTATCTCTCTGTCTCTCTCTGTCTTTCTGGCGAGCGCACCCACCCTATAGCAAAAACCTCTTCAGAAAAAAAAGTGAGTTGAATATATATCTCTCTAATAAGAGAGATGCTAAAATACTAACGATTAAGGTGACATTTCTCAAAGAAAAAATCTTGGTATTAAAATCAAGACACTAGCAAACAGCACTGTCTAATAGCTTAGAGAAACCAATGACAACACCCGAAGACGCCAAAGAAAAGTGTGTTTAATATGGCTACTGAAAACCATCCAACAGAACTAAAGGAGACTCTGAGGACCATTCGAAAACAGCTCAAAGGCCTGAAGACAGTTGGGGTGACTATGAAGAACTTCACACCAACGAAGCTCCCAGCCTGAGGCCCCGGGGAGCTTCTATCCCTGGGGAGGGGCTGACCCCTCACACGTTGAAATCTGTCAGCTCAGCGCAGCACAATTATCTAAGTGTGCACAGCCCAGCCCTGTGTGTGTCCACAGTAGAAAATGTGATGCGGAAATCCTAAGAATTCTACAAAACTAGCTTTGGAGGCCTGTGGATTTTAACTAATTCATGAAAACTTACTTCCGCAATAAAATTTCTAAAATCAAGTACTGATTTGGAGATCTTGAACTTACTCTCTCTGTCTTTCTGGCGAGCGCACCCACCCTATAGCAAAAACCTCTTCAGAAAAAAAAGTGAGTTGAATATATATCTCTCTAATAAGAGAGATGCTAAAATACTAACGATTAAGGTGACATTTCTCAAAGAAAAAATCTTGGTATTAAAATCAAGACACTAGCAAACAGCACTGTCTAATAGCTTAGAGAAACCAATGACAACACCCGAAGACGCCAAAGAAAAGTGTGTTTAATATGGCTACTGAAAACCATCCAACAGAACTAAAGGAGACTCTGAGGACCATTCGAAAACAGCTCAAAGGCCTGAAGACAGTTGGGGTGACTATGAAGAACTTCACACCAACGAAGCTCCCAGCCTGAGGCCCCGGGGAGCTTCTATCCCTGGGGAGGGGCTGACCCCTCACACGTTGAAATCTGTCAGCTCAGCGCAGCACAATTATCTAAGTGTGCACAGCCCAGCCCTGTGTGTGTCCACAGTAGAAAATGTGATGCGGAAATCCTAAGAATTCTACAAAACTAGCTTTGGAGGCCTGTGGATTTTAACTAATTCATGAAAACTTACTTCCGCAATAAAATTTCTAAAATCAAGTACTGATTTGGAGATCTTGAACTTAAATTCTGTAAGATCCCAGGTTCTGCCTCTTTATCTTTACTTTTTTTGGGGGGGGAGGGGGGAGAGATTTTCACTATAGGGCGCGTGTGTTCACCTGACAGACAGAGAGAGACAGAGGGACAGAAAGCGAGAATCACCCCCCAGGGGGGATGGTCACACCGCAATCCCTTCTCCTCCATTCTCCTCTCGGGATCTTGGGCATGCACGCACACGCACCCAGCGTGAGTTTTAAGCCACCGGGTCCGGGACGCGAACCACGGTTGACTACGTGGGAGTCCAGCGACATAGCCATTACGCTAACTGCTGGTTCCCTCTTTACATTTTTTTTCACAAACACTGTGTTCCTGGGGCCACCCATTTCCTCAAGTCCATCATTCTTTACTTGCTACCAACTCCGTGCGATGATGTGACAGTCCTGTTACCTGGTCGTACTCCAAGGCTCCCGGGTAGAGCGGCCATCCAAGGAACAACTCCGCAATTACACACCCCAGGGACCACATGTCTATGGCTTCACAAAAGGGCAACCCCAGTATGATCTCTGGAGCTCTGAAATTAAAAGAAAAAAATTAATTTTAAAAATCAGGTTTTCCTTTTAAATTACCTGACTGCATGACATTCCAGGTCATTAATAAAATGACGGAGTAATCACCTGCTATTTATAGTATCTCCTTACTATTTCAAAACTCTTTGAAACCCAGCCATAGTCCTGAATCAAACTGACAAGGACAACATGAGCGCCTCACTTCCACGAAGTCTCTTCTGTAACCCTTCTCTGAGTTTTGTTAACACAGCATTTTTTGAGAGAGAGAGAGAGAGAGATTTTTGCTATAGGGCATGTGTGCTCACCAGAGAGACAGAAAGCCAGAAATCACCCCACCCCCCCCCCCGCCCTGGAGGATGGCCATCTCCTCCATTCTTCTCGAGGGATCTTGAGCACATGCGCCTGGCATGAGTTTGAAGCTGCCGGGTCTGGAACTTGAACCACAGTCGACTGAGTGGAAGTCTGGTAATGTAACCATTATACCAACTGCTGGCCCCAACATAACACTTTTTTTTTTTTTTGGAGAGATTTTCACTGTAGGGCGCGTGCGCTCGCCAGACAGACAGAGAGAGACATAGAGACAGAAAGCGAGAAATCACCCCCCAGGGGGGATGGTCACGCCGCAATCCCTTCTCCTCCATTCTCCTCTCGGGATCTTGGGCATGCACGCACACGCGCCCGGCGTGAGTTTTAAGCCACCGGGTCCGGGACGTGAACCGCGGTCAACTACGTGGGAGTCCAGCAACATAGCCATTACGCTAACTGCTGGTTCCCACAACATAACACTTTTAAAAAAGGAAAAAAAACAAAGACCTTGCTTTTGAACTTCTCGCATATTAGAAATTACACACTAGAAAGAGAATTGGCAAACTATTAAATAATGTACTGAGACATCAACAAAACCGAAAACCAGACTCTGAGAGATTAAAACCAAAACAAAATCCCCAAGGCTAAAAAGTGGGCCTGGACCCAAATATTGCTTCAGAACACAATCACACGTACCCACGTGGCTCAGACACACGAGCTCAGTGTGCCCACGTACACAGCACAACAGTCAGAAGCATTTTAGGACGGGTAGGGCTTCGGTTGTTTGGAAAACATAGTCCATGAAACACACTGACTGGCTTTCCCAGAAGCCCCTCCTCCGAGGCCCTCAGCACAGCTGTGTGACTCCGGAGGAGCCGGGGTGTGCAGTTATCCCGAATGGCCTGGGTGTGCATGAATTTAATTTTTTTTTTGGAGGGATTTTCGCTATAGGGCACGTGCGCTCACCAGACAGACAGAGAGAGACAGAGACAGAAAGCGAGAAATCACCCCCCAGGGGGAATGGTCACGCCACAATCCCTTCTCCTCCATTCTCTTCTCGGGATCTTGGGCACGCACGCACACGCGCCCGGTGTGAGTTTTAAGCCACCGGGTCCGGGACGTGAACCACGGTTGACTACGTGGGAGTCCAGCGACATAGCCATTACGCTAACTGCTGGTTCCCTGCATGAATTTAATTTTAAAACAATTTTGTCTTACCGAGATGTTGCAAAAACACCACAATGAATTTCTTTCCTAAACTACTTGAGAATAATTTGCCAAATTACTGTACACTTCGCATTTCCTACAAACAAGAATATTCTACATAACAAAATACAACCACCAAAACCAGGAAACAAGCCATTCCCGCCTCAGACTCCAAGCATGTCTGGCCACTTATAGTGACAGTGTCTCCTTTGGCGAAAGGGTCAGGCTCAGACCCGTCACTGCACTGTGTCTGGCTGCTGTATCTCTTTCAGCATTTTTCAGTATCAAATAGTGACTGAGCCCCCTTCAATTTCCATGACCTTGGCCAGTTATTTGTGGAAGTGAACTTCGGGTGCATGGGAGGCCTGGACAGGGCACCCACGACCCTGGCTGGCTGAAGGCTGCAGGGAGGACTGCAGCAGGACAAGACCCCACTGGGGGTCCATTTCTCTTTTCCTCTTTCATAAGAAGTAGTTTACAAGCATCTTAAGAGAGAGAGAGAGAGAGAGAAAGACACACCCCTCAGCCTGGGGTTCCCTAATTCTACTCAGGGAACCACCTGTGAGAGGAGCCGCAAGGAAGTAACCCTGAAGTCCTCCAGGTCTTACAGGCGACACACAACCCCATGCACTCCACCGCCAGTTAACCCCTGATCACTGACTCACGTGGGGTCACTAGGTTTCTCTTCGCAATGAAACATGCTGTGAGGGCTCTGATTTGAAACTATCAATGGTCCATTTCTTATCAACTTGCAATTTATTACTTTATCTGCCTGTATGAGAACAGACTATCAGTCCTATTTCACTCAATGGGTTATAATCTTTCTTTTTAGAGAGAGAGAGAGAGATTTTTGCTACAGGGCTCGTGCACTCCCCAGAGGGACAGAGACAGACATAGACAGATCGAGAAATCACCCCTCGGAGGAGATGGCTATGCCACAGTCCCTTCTCTTCCACCCTCCTCTTGGGATTTTGGGTACACGCACATACATGCCTGGCCTGAGTTTCAAGCCCACAAGTCCAGGATTCAAACCATGGTTGACTACATGGGGGTCCAGCACCTTAACCACTACAACACCTGCTAGCCCCTCAAATGGGTTATAATCTATTACTTTAATTCTGTATTCAAATTTCTCCAGATTTGACCAGCAGAACGTCCTCAAAATTTTAGGTTCTTTCACTATGTCCCATCATCCTTTCATTAGTCTAACCAAGCAAAGGTTAGGCTCCTCTTTTTCTTGGCTCCAGCCCAAGAACCCTGGTTATTTTCAGTGGAGAACGGTACTTTGAAACCAAGATCAGAGGTTGGGTGTTCGTAACTGGGATGGCTCCAGCCCCTCTCAACACAAATCTCACAAACAGTAAAGGCCATAAACCTTCTGCTCATTTCCTGTTTGTTTTAATTTGCTATAGAGCATGTGCACTCACTTGCCAGAAAAAGAAAGAAACAGAACAGGAGAGCTCATCCCCCAGAGGAGATGGCAATGCCAAAATCCCTTCTCGTCTCCTCTCAGGATTCCGGGGCCCCCGCACACATGCACCAAGTATGTTTTTCAAGTCACCAAGTCTGGGACTCACACCATGCAGCGGGTGACATGGGCTGCAGCCGCCTTAACCACATGCTACCACCTGGCCTAACCGCTACCTTCTGAACAGAGACGGTGACCGTTCAAGGAGGGCAGTGGTCCCAGCTTGGCTGCACCCTATAATCACCTGGCCCTGCCTTACCGATACTCAGATTAGAAACTCGGTGAGTGGGGCTTGGGGATTAGTACTTTTGTTGAATGGGTTCTAGTTAACATACAATCGATGCACATCTTCTTGGGGTGCAGTGTGGTTTTACAAAGCATGCATACAGCGGGTACTAAATCAAGGATAAACTCACACTGACCTTCAAGGCTGAACATTACATTGTGCTGTGAACATGTAATAACCGTTCCACTCATTTTTTTGGAAGTAACTTTTGAGTTCTCCATATTTTTAACTCTGCTGTGGCACACTATTCTATAACTTCTTCCCCTTATTTGTATTTTCCAAAGCTCCTGGGATGATTTCAACATACAGTCAAGGTTAAAAACCTAAGCAGTAGACGCAAAGTTAGGAAGAACATTCAATTTCCTCCCTTTAGCTCTCCTGACAGAATAAATTCAAAGGAAAATGAACAAGGTGTTTTCTACCGTAGCTTTTGGATCTTCCCGATGTCTGAACTCAGTGAATTTTTCTCAAATAAATCATTCCAACGTGGCTTGAGTTGCATAAAGAAGCCCATCAGAAAGAACTCTGGGACTAAACTCGGCCTTGGAGAGCAGAAGCACAGACAGAAAGAGGACTTGGCACTAATGTTTATAAAGGACCCATTAACCTATGCAAAAAGGATGTGAGGCAAAGGTAGTTTCAAAAACAGGGAACTGCACAATCCCACGTGGCCAACTGTCTGGTGCGAGTCCTGGACCCAGCAGCTAGTGAGCATGCCTAAAATCGCAAGAGGAGAACACAGAAGGGGCTGGGGCATGGCCATGCTCCCAGGGCTGCTTTCTTACTTTGCCCCTCTCTGAGTCTCTCCAGCCAGCGATGCAAATACCCTATAGCAACATTTTTAAATAATATGCAGCAGAAAAAGAGATTCACTACTGATGCTCAATTAATTTTTTAATACTTATTTAAGTGTATTCATTATTATTATTTTAATTTGATCAGAGAGAGGGAGAGAAAGAGGGAAAATGAGAAAACAAGCCACTGGATCCAGGACTCAAACAGTAGTCGGCCATGTGAGAGTCTAGCATCTCAACCACCACGCCATCTGCTGGCCCCTTATGTACTATTTGAATCCAAAGAATTATCAACACTAATGGGGCTATAGCTGTATGTAGAAAAACTGTATGATTATTTTTAAGTATTTAATATGGAAAGTTCACGAGATTTAAATTTTGTTAGACAATTTTAATAACATATTTGACAATGAAAGAAAAGAACGATAATACCTGGGATAGCCAATTGAAAGATACTAAAATCATCTGAATTCTGGTTAAAAATAAGAAAGAAGTTGATGACTATCAGACAACTATGAATTCCTCCTACTATCTGCTACCATTTAATGGATGTGTCCACTCTGTAACTATTGGTGACAAAATTATAGACATCTTTGCAAAACCTCACCAGAAATTGCATGATAGCCACTGCAGACAAAACCTAAGATAGAAGTTATGGTCACAGAAAGCAAATTCGAGCCTCTCACTTTAAAAATAACTGTAACTGAAAGTCTTACACTAGTTCATTCTCTCTTATTCCATCAGTTCAAGTCCTCCAACAAGCAGGAGCAGATGCCGTGAAGGACGGGGAGGAAGCAGGAGTGCTGGGAGGACCCTCAGACCCTGAGTGAGTCTGCCACCTTCAGAAGACTTGGGTAGAAAGAACCTCCTAGGAGAAAGGCTTGATCATGCCAGAAGAGAGTCCCTTGGCAAAAACCACCTGCTGGAGAGGACCCCCAACAAGCA